CCTCTCGGGACTCAGGTCTCAGTTTCTCCTCTCCGAAAATTAGTAAAATCCAGGGCAGCAAAGCCCCCATACTTCCTCCTACCACGGCGAGGGCGCGCCCGCGGGCCTTGGGGCGCTCAGCGCGGCACTCAGGGCCCTGCTAGCGGAGCCTATCCCCGGCCGCGCGGTCCCCATTCCGCTCTCCGGGGAACAGCTAGAGCGGCAAGAGGGCAAGGCTCTCGGCAGCCCCACCCGGCGCCCTGGGCTGCGAAGTGAGGGGGGGCTAGCTCCAACGACCTGGCAGTCCCTTCCAGCTTGGTGAAGCTGGGACGACGCACCTAGGCGTGCACTCCCGCCCAGCCCGACAGTAGTCCGCACCTCGTGGGGAGCCCTTTCACAATTAAATCACCGCGGAGCTTCCCAGCCAATAAATCACCTGCCCACCATGAAGGAACGTCCCTCCCACTCCTTGTGCTAGAGACTTCACTGATTCAACCAGCCGGGCCAATTCAGTGAGGGGCCCGACTGGGCCTGCAAGACTGATCTGCACCTCCTACTCCAGTTCTGAAAGCTCTACATTTTCGGATTTCACTCCTTTCTGAGACAGGACTCATTATTGCTAATTCTCTACATAATTCATATAGTTCAAGGGAAAAATCTGTTAGGACACAAGAAGCACACTCTCCTCTAGTCTGAAGAAGAGTAACCTTTTGTTACTTTAAAAATGTTTGTTCATATGATCAACACACAACCTGGGCTGCTTGGGTAGTGGGCCCGGCACTGGAGGTAGAGACAGGCCTGAGATGGGCCTGCCCTCAAGAATCTCCAGGCCAGCAGCAGGCAGGTTAACAGATGCCACTCCTGGCCTGTAAGAAGAGCAGCCAAGGAACAAAGAGCAGTGGGAGGAGCAGGAGAAAGAAGCAACCTAACTCTGCCTGCTGAGGTCTTACAGGAACCAACAAGGAAGAGCAAGAGCGTGAGCCTGCCAGGTGGGCTCCAGCAGGGCTTCAAGCAGAGGACTGGGCCGGGAAGGGCATACAGAACATTCTGGGCACTGCCAGGAGGACGGGATGTGCAGAATGGACTGCCAGCAGATAAGACTGAAGAGGTAGGCGAGGCTCGGATTGCAGAGAGCCTTTGAGGCCACACTGAAGAGTTATGGTCCTAATCGTGGTCTGGCAGAGATGGTTGAACATGAGCGTTACATGGAAAGACTGGAGAAGGACTGCTCCAGTGGTAGTGTGGCATACAACGGGGAATGGGGACAGACTGGCTGCAATGCAGAGAGCAGTTAAAGAGGCTGGTGAGAGAGTGCTGGTGAGAAGTGAGGAAGACCAACTATTCACACATTCAACCTCAGTCATCAGAATCCATACTTCTTAATCCACCCTTTTCACTAGCCACTCCTTGGAACCCTATGGGGCAGTTCTACTCTGTCCTGTAGGGTCGCTACGAGTCGGAATCGACTTAATGGCAATGGGTTTTTGATTTGGAATCCCCCCTTTAAATACTTAAGTATTTACTAAGCACGTAGCGCTGGGAGGGATTTTAAAAAAAAAAAAAAAAAAGTAGCCATGGACCTTCACTAAACTATGATTCATTTTTTGCAAGTAAGACCAATGTGTAAAGTTGTAACAGAACAATCCAAGACATTATCCAGCCAAGCATAGAGTAGTGAGGTGCAGCTCATCAGTACAGCAAGGGTGCCAAGAACAAGGATGGACTCAAGTAGTCTACAGTAGCCTGGAATGCATTCACCCAGGCAGTGAGGCAAAAGCCAAATGGTGAAGGGTGGACAGCGTTTGTAGAGATAAGAGGAGAGGTGAGAGGGCCCTCCATGAAGGGCACAGGTGGAGACTGGGAGGTGAGTTATGAGAGAGAAAGAGTCTAATGGAGCTGAGGTGGGCAATCTGGCATGAGTCAGACAGTGGAATGGCAGAACCATGAAACCTGAATGTGGGCTTGATGCCAAGTGATACACAACAGGTTTACTAGGAGAGGCGGCCAGCAATGGAGGCAGCATCTAAGAAAGGCTGATTCTGGGACATTGGGTAATGTGGTAGAGTTGGACACACCTGAGTTCAAATTTCAATTCTTCTCCTTACGATGTAATCCTCTGAACATCATCCATTCAACTAATAATTTTCAAGCACCTACTGTATGCCAGGATCCTCACATATATTTATTCAAAATCCATACAATCTAAGAAGGAAGCACTAGTATTATTCCCATTTTACAGACAAGGAACCTGAGGTATAGATGGTTAAATAACCAGATCAAGGTTATCCAACTCTTAAGAGACAAAGCCAGAATTCAAACCCAGGCAAAGTCTGGCCCCAAAATCCATGTTCTTAACTGCCAACATTCTCTGTAAAATAAAGATAAGAGCCTTCTGTAAAATAAAGATAAGAGCCTATAGTCATTTTCTGTCATGATACCATTATTGTGACACTGCCCTCTCCTGCTGGCCCCAACAGCAAATCACCAAGTTCTCAGTATTCTTCCTCTAAGAAAGGTCTCTCAAGGCCCTCCTTTCTACTATTAGATACCAGGCTAGGCCTTCTTTCCCACTAGTTTGCCTGGTAACTTATCTACACCATCCAGCCATCTAATAAGCCTCTGCTAAGGATTTTTTAAAACCACAGATTTCAGTATTGACTCTTACACAGTCTTGTCCCCAGCCTACACCTAAGAATAGCACTCTGACCTCTGCAAGAGGGCCCTGAACTCAAGGCCCTCCAAGATCCTATCCCTACCTACCTTTCCAACCAGATGTCCTGTGACCTATGCTGTGACCTCTGTCTGAGTTCCAGACTCAGGGTACCAAGATACCTCCATGTCTACCTCAAACCCAAGCTCAAATCCCTCCTACTCCAAAATGATCATTCCTTCCCATTCATTTGGCATTTGTTGATTTACCTGTATAACACCTCATTTACCCATTGGGTCTGTAAGTTCTGAAAGGGCAAGAATTTTATCTTTTACCACTTTGCCTCCCTACAACACTAGGCAGTTAATGCTCACCAAGTATTTGGTATATAAGTGAAACAAGCCATGAGATAATGAGGGTCTGGGCTTGGGTGGTCACAGTGGATGGACTGGTAAGAGTTGAAGGGCCTGTTTTGAACTCTGATGACAGAGTTGACCTTGGCACCATGATACCACGCTCTCCTGGTTTTCCTCATTACCACCTGGCCTAGTTCTCTCCTTAACTTCTAAATGTTAGGAGTCTCCCCAAGGTTTCATTCTAGGCTTTTTGCTCTACAAACTCCCTTCCAAGATGATCTCCACCATTCCTTTGGCTCTAAATATCATCAAGTATTTCTAAGACAAAATCTATGCTCTAAGCCCATTGGGAACACTCACTTGAACGTCTCACAGACATCTCAAACTAACTACTAACTACTTCCAGAAACATGAATCTAGCATCTGATGGTGAGCACAGATGTACCATAGCTCTTAATGTATACCAAGACTATGCTACTGAGACCAAAGCACCATTGGCCCTACTTAACAAAAAAAAAAAAAAAAAAAAAAGGAAGTAAAAGCTTTGTGTGGCCTGCACTGTTACTTCTCTATGGAAAGCCACAAGGCCTCAAAACTGGCAAAACATCTGCTTCTCAGAGACCAGCCTTTACCTTGTGGTTTACCAGAAATGTAGAGTAGCTTTTAAAAATGAAACAAAGCCAACCCATTCAGAGCAGTCAATGATTGGAACAGGTCAATACGTTAAATAGGTTTCTGAGGCATTGGTCTCCTTTCCCTCTATATATTTATCTTTCTTCAAAAGAAGACCTTGAGGTTTTTAAGGCTTTAATTTAAAAATTAACACTATCAACTTATAAATACCTGTAACCCATTGCCATCAAGTTGATTCTAACTCATATTGA